GGAAGTGTAATTAGAAATGTAGAGATCCATCTCGTCGCTTGGAAATGTGATCTGCGTAGATACTAAATAGTAGAAGAACCGACAAGTTAGTTTCGACGGCAGAGCGCATTTTGAGTTGTACCGTACACTTTGGGGCGATGCCGTTTATGTCGTCACCACTCCGTACTGGAGACCGGTCTCGTACTTTGAGCAACTCGAGTGTGAGAATGCATTGGACAAAGATGGTGGTACATATCAAGCTTGCAAGAGTGTGCAATGTGATGGTCCGCAAGCTGCAACCGGAGAGCCGTGTGCGTGGTCGAGACTTCTTCTCCCCTAGCAGCCCATCATGAGATTGTCTCAGGGTATCAGAACTGGTGCGAGCTGAGTCCATTGAAAAAGGTCTAGACGTGCAGAAAGCAGCGCAAGTGTGAGAAGAAGAAAAGAGTATGAGCGGTTTGCAGATAGCTTCACCTGTCTCAACAATGTGGATTGAGAAGTTTGCGCGTTCAGAAGTGCCACAAATGGCAGCACCACTACAGCCTGAAGATTTTTTCTGGAGACCGGTAGTTTTTCAGGCCATTTCTCCGCATGTAGAAAGAGTGGATGAAAAAGGCCGGAAGAAATTACCTGATCACAATGTCGGGCCTACTCAAACTTGTTACCATCACCTACACTATACAATTCGATCATCCGGAAAGATTGCGATAATAATATCCTAACATCCAGTAGGCACTCCCGAGATTGGCAGAGATGGATGGCGGCGGACAAAACATTTCGGTTGTTCCAAACCTCCGAATATAATTGTTTGTCACACAAGGAGACTCACTCTGAGCATTCTCAGGCTAAAGAACATTCTTGACCTACAGCATGCAGTCTTTACTGATGTCTCTGTTGAGCACAGGAAGCTCTTTGTGAATCATGCTGTCCGCCATGCTGTCCGCCATGCTGTCCGACCGTGCGCACTGACAGTGCGTAAGACTGAGTGTGAAGATGCCACTTTCTCTTCCTTCTCTATCACACCCAAATAGTTAATTCACAATATTTGTTTTCTCAAATCAGACTTCAATGATGCAACCTGGAAACACTAATTTTACTGTGTACTCGACCCACTCATCTCATTGCCGCCGCAAGGCGCACCTATCTGTCTCAGTCAAGGCTATACAGCACACTAACAATACATTGGCTTGTAAGCGCATAAATAAAGCTTTATTGGAGGCTGTAGCTACCTGCATCTCTTAAATATACTAGTGGGCAGCCGAGCTCTACGGAATTAGTTCCCACAACTCACATCGCATACATCCCCACAGAAAATGAGACCCGTATAATTTACGCTAAGCATGTATTTCTTTTTGAGTTCTTTGTAAGAATGCCGTAATTTATAAAGTCTATCTATAATATTGGTATATCGTAGCCCGCCGCTTGCTCCCTCCGAAGTATTTCTATACCGGGCGGGAAAGAATGATTCCAAGCGTAGTTCTCATCCACAATCTTTTTGTCATGGAACAAAACGTCCAAGTCGCTCGCCTTCTTACAGATATGAACATCCTGCTGGCCGGTTGAAAGATCGCCAAAGCACTTGATAGACTGTGCCAGGAGCTCGATGCAGTGTGCGAAGTGCTCGTTTGGTATGACCAGCTTCTGCCCCGTTAGAGCTCTGAAGTGCTGGTGTTGGAGGAACCACTGGATAATTTCAGCCTCTATTCAATGCATTTGCATGTTCATGACCATGCTCGCGATTCAAATACCACGCAATGTAATTGGTGACCAAGAGCTGTCTCTACAGCTGTCGATACTTTCGGCTCTCGAGTTGGGACGACTGGTGCCTTTGGGCTAGGCTGAAGTTGGTAGGTTTCGATCTCTTCTTCAGTGGCCAGGAGCCATGCTTCCCCTCCTTTTGATTACCCGACAGATCAGAATACAGAATTTATTACATAGTGATGCAGGAGAGAGAACTTACCTATCAATAGTTCCTTCCACGCAAGCTTCGCACTTAGCATGTCTTCTTCTGTACCATTATAGGGATCGTAGCTATATCTTAACGTGTTGGAAAAGGTCCTTTGCTCAACATGGAAATCTAGTTGCAATTTCTCCTGTTAGATGGCTCTTTTCACCGTAGTGATAAAAAAAGAATAACGATGACTTACCCTGGATCCAGCCTGATGGGTCTGCCCCAATCTGCTGTCGTATGCAGGTAGAAGATAGTTTTGCGAACAGGTAGACATTCGTTATAATTGATACTACCATGGTTAATCCGAAAATGAAGGCGATAAAGCTGTATGCGCCTCGTTGTCGCATTCGCTGCCAGAGAGTATGCCATATCTTGGGCTTTTGTGCCTTCTCCAATTCACAGTGCTTTAGCAACAATTCAATCTCAGTTTTTTCGAAAGAACTAGAGGACCGAGTACTATTGCCGCATGCAGCGACCGAATTTTCGTTCATTGTGGTGTTGCTGCTGAATTGAATCCAGCGAGAAGATTGGATGGAGATGGAACTTGTCCATCACAACTAGGACGGTCCGTGCTGCTCACAATTATCCGGCATTGTATTCAATCCAAGGGCGAGAACTATCTGTAGTACATAGTTAAAATATACTATTTGCTCTCATTAACCTCCGATGTTAGTTAACATGCCCCACTTCGGGTTTGAAGATCATAGGGTGGAAGATTGGCATGATTACTATCCATGTAATGCCGACGCCATTGAACCAACTCATTCTAGCTTAACCACTCTGACCATCAATGCGGCCAGGCCTCGAGATCGGCCTCGAAGAGTCTTCTATTGGTCGCTCTCCTTGAACCACCGGCGGCGAAAATGTATTGCAGGTGCTAAACCTCCGAACGACCATCAAGAGCTTGACAAAGAGTATTATGAATCGCACAACAATAAGCGTAAATGAAACAACTTCCGGGTTTTGGTGTGGTGCTCTCGGTCAGGAAGATGGAGCCTTTTGGTCGGTGACTTTGGCGAATTTTGGCAATTCACGTGATTCACGCCATTGGTTGCGCCAAGGCCTGTTTTCTTTTCCAGTAAACCAAGGAGATTGAGTCAGCATTTGCGTAGAAGTAAAGCAGGTATTGAGACCCAGCCTCTTTGGCTTCCGATAGCCATGCGGTGGTTGGTGGTCGGCCACGATGAAAGCCTAGGATGAGTGAACGAGTGCACGGAGATGATGCTTCCAAGTGAACTCAGAGGGAGAGTAGCAGCATGAAAAACTCCCGTTGCTTCTCAGTCGCCCGGACTTTGATCTACGCTACTTGCACCTTCCTGGGCATTTGACCGCGCCACTGCGTTGGGCTACGAAGGACCATCTCCTTCGGGAGCGACGGTGCTCGAGCTGGTGGCGGCAGAAATGAACAGTGGACGATCGGTAAATTTACTGTCCGACCACTTATTCAATCTCGTAGAAGGCCCTTCCAACTCTGTTCTTAATGGCCGAGTGCTTTCACGTATGCATGCATGCGCAGTTTCAACATGACCCCTCAGGGAACAGTCGTGGACCTGCGTAAGCGCATTTTCCCACTTAAATCCTGGCACGGCGTCAATTCTAACCATGCACAGACCGGGGGTACGTGGTATCTGTGAACTTTCTCTTCCAGAAAGAGCGTTATTGCCCTTGAGCAGCCAAAGGTCGGGAGAATTCTGGCTGTGTGACGAGACTCAATGCGGGTCTTTCATTGATCATATTCAGAGACCAGATATATTCTTCACTAACATGAAACTCGATTCAATGAGGGCATCGCGATGTGATTCGAGTTTGGTGATGGCTTAGCATATGCGAGCCACTTGCTGGTTTCTTTCCCTTCCCTGCAGGTTGGTGCGAACTACTTGTACATTCTTGCCTCATCCGTTTGCTCCAGTAAACGACTCTCAAATCTGTCTCGAAGAAATTCTGCAAAAGCTTCCATTACCTCAGGGTTTAGTTTATCGTCGGCATCGCCGCCAAACTTGAAAGGAAGCACAGATGCAGTTCATGAGAGCAGAACAAACGTTTTCAGCAAAACGTTTCTCCTGTTGGGATGCTAGACCAAATTAGTTTTTCTCGCGAAAACTTCCGAAGAATTGTCCGACTAAGTCTGAACAAAGTAATTAATACATACCGTACCGTTCAAGCTTGACTTTGTGCCGCTATGGGAGTCTCTTCTAGAGTGTGTACCGGCCATCTCCTGGATCTCTTCTGGTAGCCTTAGATTATCGTCTGCGTCTTGGTAGAGAGCTAATAAAATGAGGTACCATAGCTTGCCGTGGCCAACATCGCACATGAGGAATTGTTCTGCAGCTCCGTTAAGTGATTGAATTGTTCTCAGAGGATCGCGGTCTGTATAGTCTTCCTGTCGCCTTCTGTTCAGGGATTGCATGAGAGATAAACAGCAGTGACACCTTCCGTCGCTGTTACTGCTAACTGAGTTGGAGTGCTGAAGTTCTAGGTCGATGTAGAGACCTTCCTGGCTCGGGAAATTGAGGTCTAGGAACTCTCCGTCTAACGCGTGCGGCAGTGGTGATAGTATGTCACAGTTGAGGCTAGTCGTGGCTATTCGCTCTGACGCATCTGTGGAATTGGGTGGCTGCTCTGACGTCTGAACCTGGAGCTCCGATTGCATGCCTGTAGTTTCTTCGCTAGGACGACTTGAATGGTTTTTGTACGTCTGATCGGGTTGTACTGTATAGTTTAGAGATCGTGCTGCTGTACCCAGATCCGAGCGAAATAACATAGTCGTGTCAGAGTTGTCGGAGTTATTGCGCATCTGGGCTCCCACGGTTTCGTGCATTGTCCCTTCCTTCTGAGCAGGCTGGACACTGGCTTGAGAATTTCTGTAGTCTTTGCAAGTAAGCTAACGAATGACTGAGTGTCAGCTAGAGAGAACACACCCTCTGGACTAGCTAGTGATACAGGCGTGTACAAGTCTCTTCCCTGCAATGTATTCTCGTGCGTCCTGATAGCGCTACGCACAATCGAGCGTCTATGCTGACGACTCTCACCAGAGTCTGGTCGTCTTGGACGACCAGCAGGCCGAGCGACACTGTACGTGCACTGGTGGGCAGACTGCTGACATCGTTCACATGCAGGCTTTTCGCGAGAACAGCTAAGCTTGCGCCGATAGCATTGATCGCAGACATTGTTATAGGGATTCGCTTGCGAGCTGAAAGGCGTCGACTCGGAATTGCTTCTGTGATGAGGAGGACGGGTAAAGGACTGGTTGGATTCGGGCATTTTGAATAACAGAGTATTTACTTCAAATACAGTCACTGATGGCTTTCGTCTTGTTCTTATATGTATCGGGAGCCCGGTGCCAACGATTCGGAGACCTACCCCTCCTCGTTGGACAACGCCACCAGTCCGTAACACCCAGATCTTGATAAGCGCCTTATCGTATTAGGTACGGTTTCCAAGATTCTTGTATCGTTGATCTCCCTGCAAGTCTTGACCATGTTCAGGGAGTTTGATAAGGAGTCGACCCCGGGAGTATCCAGACGGTGGCACGTATCCTAGTTAAAGTGGCTGATTATATGCGATGAGCTCCGATAAGCTGAATAATTCTTCTCATGCATAAGTCCAACACTTTTACGCTGATTCACTTCTATTTTCCCTCCAACAAGATAGCGTAGCGACCGCCCTTCAAGTCGATGCATACTCACACTGGCTAGAAGTGTCCAGCATAGAACTTAGCGTTTTTTAACCCTGTACTAACAATATGCAGACTCAGTAGGCGCGGCTCGGATCAGTCCATGTGCCGTCAACCGTTGAAAGTTGCTCGTAGATACTGAAGAAAGAAGTAGGTTTGCCGAAAGCTAGTGGGGCGAGGGTAGTAAATATCCAATAGATGTAGCAGCTACCTACGAGCTTGTTATTGGGGATTTCATCGACATCGTCGGGGCCGCTTACTTGCTTCCTTGTTTCAGTGTAGTGTGCTCAGGTGGTTCACCCAGAATCCCGCGTCTCAACCAAAATTGGCGAACTTCTCAAGTATATAGATCTGTTCGGGTGTTGTAGGACCTTGAACCATTGTTGAGATCGTAGAGATAGAGTCAAGTCATCTTTGCCTTTTATATCGTAGTCCAAAAGATCATGTATGGCTACTTATAACAAGGAATTCGAAAGCTTCCAGTCTTTCATCATCGTGCCGTCAGCAATTTTATCTGTTCTAAGCTAGGTACTCCACCGCTACCCGTCCCACCAGACCAAGCGGAGTTACCCCGCGTTCGAGCATTTTTTGAAGCTCGAATGATGTCTTAGGTATAACGCTTGTCGAGAGCTGCAACTTACAAGGGAGAGGGCGATTGCTCGGTCTATCATCATGGCAAAGGACGAGCAGGTGGGCCAGAAATCCCGAGATCTCTGTCAAAATCGCTCGGTGGTAAGCATTTAGTGAAAGGACCTGGGCTTGGCCATCAAAAGCTTGGTCGTTCGCCTGGAAGCAATTAGTGTGGGACTGGTAGTTTTCGGTCCGGAGACGACATACAACCCCTGACTACCCCGTTAAAGCACCGACTTGTTGCGGTAATATGAACCGCTCTATCCGCTCCCACCGAGCTGGACGGTTAGTATATGTAGCTAGATTGTCGTCTAGAAAATGCGCTGTGTCCTCGGCGGTTCTCCCTGACCGATATTCTACGGACGATCAACAGATGAAAGGCAGTATATACGAGGGTTTGCAATGAGTAAGGATCTGATGTAACTCACCCGCTGCCTCGTGCCGAGAAGACCCTTGAGAGTGCTGGAAGAGAAGTGCAAAAGATCACACTCTTGATTATACAATTGGGCAAAGCCATGACTAGCATGAAGACTCCTGAGGTCGCTTTACAAAACGAACCGGCAAATTAGGACGTAGATGGCAGCATGTATCCGCAATGATGAATAAAACAACGATTTTTCAAGGTTGCCCTGTCGTTTCGGTAGTATCTTGTCTCTAGAACTAGCGGGAACCATGTAGGTAAAGCTCAAGGATGCTTCCAGATGCAACTAGTCCATGTGCTTTAATATGTCGCTTTCTTGACAAACGAGTGACCACTATACCTAATAGAGAAGCGAACAGCTATACACTTGTGCCCACCGGTTGTCTTCGAATACCAAGAGAATGCCCGAGCACGGGCAATATTGAAGATATCCTGCGTTAGTAGCCAGTAAGACCAAGTAAGTAGTCGTTTTGAGAGCGGGAGTGGTGCGGGTCCACCATCGCACAAGAAAGGCGACGGTGGCTTCGATCCACCTTGGCTGCTATTGAGATGGCTCATCAGCCACGTCGCTATGACTGTCGCATGCTGGCTTCCAAGGTGTATTGGAACTTGAGATATTGCAAGCCTGCATTGGTTGTTGTTGCCAGCTTGTTCTCCCAAGCGCCCTTTCTCACTGGCAAGCAACCCGTTGTCTTCGGCCGGACAAAAGCTATCGGTACGAAGCTCGACAGCCGCCAACGTCCAGCTCCAAGCATCACAACAAAATGGCGCAGCACCAAACTGCTAACATGCCAAAGCCCGCACACTCTGAAAGCAGCACTGCTCCGATTCGACTAAGGAGAGTGACTGCACAACCGACCCCAACGTCTTTGGCCCAACTAAGTGCCGTTCGCACTCGTGCGCAGCTTCATCAAGTCTAGCGCTTTCGGCTTCGGCTTCGGCGCGCTCGCGCTCGCGTAGTTAGTTCAAACTTTATCGCTAAGCCCTGTCTCCACTGAACTCGATGCCCATGGGTGGGCGCTGCTCCTCACGCGCAAGATCCTCACAGAGCATCCATGGATACTCTCACATGCGCACAGACACACATAGCCATCAGAATGAGCCGACACGCGTGTCATGTTCCAAGCTTACCGCATTGAGGCTGATACACAACGCGAACTGCCGGCCAACCTCGAGAGTCACTTCTACACGATTCCGTCAAGAAAGGGACATCGCACATGACGCCTTACGACACCAGAATCGCGACAACCAGCTTCCGCGCTCTGCTCGCCGTCTCAGATTGCAGGGCTGATATCATCCAGATCCGATCCCTATATACACCTTGGGAAAAAGCTGATCACAGGCATCTACGTAGATAACATTACCTTTGCATGTAATGGCTTCAACAACACCAATCAACGGAAGGAGGTTCTCTCTGAGCGATTCTACCTCATCAATATGAGCCCATGCAAGTATTACCTTGGTATCGGGAGTCTTATAAATCAACAATGGGCTGATCTTCATCAACAAGGCTGCGTCGGGCAGATACTGGAGAAGCATCATGTGGGTGAGAATTGCGCACTCACTTACATCACTGCCCATCATGGACAAGTCTACGGGGCACACTTGTGACCTGAACGGTGACAACTGTTGTTCTGAGTGACTCTTGCATTAATCTTCTACTCTAAACAAGCCTGTGCCTGGTGCCGAAACAAAGGAGTACAAATCTCTGCGTTGCTTAAAGTGGTGTAACGAAGTAGTTGGTAGATGAAAAAAGTGTGTACACTTCATTAACTATGCGAATAGGTCAGCCTCGACTTGATCTATACACACCTTCCACTTACTCATACAACGTAGTTGGGCGGTGCGGTGCAACAGTTATATCTAACATGATAGCCTGCAACCAAATCCTCCAAAGAATACTTGCTCTCTTTCATCAACCCCTCATCTACACAATGCTGTTGTCCACCAATAGGCCCTGTAATATTTCCGTTGGCAGCGAGCACATCTCGCTTCCATAGCCAAGAGCATCGATACAAATGAAACTCCCAGTTTGTCCAAATTTGAGTCGTCGGATCAAGGTCTGGCAGTTCATACACACCTAATTCCCGCATGTCTTTCCGGTCATGGATGCCATTAACACTTGGATGTGATTCCGCATAAGTAGAGTTCTTGTAAACGTAGAACTTCCATTCCCGAGAGCGTCTAAATTTAATTTCTTCCTCCAGATGTGTACACTCAGGTAGTTGCCAGGTGCCCGTGGCCAGCTCGAAGCCACAGCCTCGCTCCGTGGCTATCTGGGCATCTGTGCCGCATGGGCGATATGCCAAGTGTAAAGCTGCTTCTGACCAGGTTGTAGTAGAAGGATGGACGGCCCAGACAATGAAAACCGTAAGGAAGCCGGCAACAGCGGAGGCAAAATGTATTAGGCCAAGCCGCTGAATGAAAGAAGCCATTAGGCTCAAAACTCTGCCCATTAAAGGGGAATTGAAGGTATGGACTGAATTCTGTGATTTTGAAATGTCGTGAATGGTACATTACTACTATGGCGTCGTCATCTACGGGCCGTCAAGTATGACGTGTCGTGGACAACCCCCGACTTAAATACAGTCTGCCGGAAGTTTGGTGCGATGCTCTCGGCTTTTCGGATATTCTTTTGCCAAATTCTTATCCAATAAGTGTCTCCATGGCAAACTAAAGTCAATTAATAATAAAGGAAGATTGCAGGTAAGAAGTCCCTTCCACGAAGATTGGTGTCGCTAGTTGTGACATCGTGCAAGGCATTCCTCCTCACCCACAGTTTGGCAAAATTTGGTCACCCTACTACTTTCTATCAAAATGCCACGATACACCCTCATCTCAAAGTCATCTTCTGAGCTCCCCCGTTCCACTGCTTTCGAACAAAATATTGGATTTCTTGGAGAATACGACCACGAATCCCCACATCTACTTCGTCGGCCAGCAGTAAACACCATGAAACAAATAAGCATTGCGCTCAGCTTCGGCGCACTACTTGCAGCAGCCATCCTGGGTCTCCTGAGGACAACAACTGTGCTACCAACATCAAGTGTTTCACTTTTGCAACGAAAAAAAGACATCGCCAAATGGTCATCTTGTGGCGACTCAGTCCCCGAGGCAAAAGATCTCGGATGTGTCTACGATCCTTCTCTTTTAGTCTGGATGAAACCGTACTGCAAGCCTGACGATATAGCCGATCAATTCATTCGACAGCCTATACATACTGTATACCACGACGAGGACATGCAAAAACCAATGAACATGTCGTATTATCTATCTGGGGAGTTCCCTCAGGCCTACGATGCAGTAGAACATCACAAAGCTCACTGTTTGAACGCTTGGAGAGCCTTGACCCAAGCGTCTCTCCTAAAAACTCCCGATATCCTGGTTCCTTTTGCTGCTCTTTCTTGGGAACATACTGTACATTGCAGCGAAGATGTTATTGTGCCTAATATGGATAGCCCATGGCGGACGAAGCCACACGTGCACTTCTGGGTTCAATTTGAGAACTGTGAGCTCTTACGGTGATTGAGTAGTCATAATTTCAGGTTATAATTTTAGCAAACACATGAATGAACAAAATATTATGGGTAAACCCTGATCGTGCCGTGAGTTGATAAATCAGATGATTCTCGAAAGAGCCGTGAGTCGGGGCAGCGAGCTTTCTCGTGGTGTCTACCGTTGATAGCTGAATTGGGTAGGCGCTGCGTAAGTGACATTGGATCGAGACATAGAATTTGATGATTCTTGTTCGACCATGCCTACCACTGAAAGAGTGTAAGCTATCGAGAATGAAGTATGGGGCGACACGGTGTGAGGATCAGCTTGTTTACGTTGAATACTGACCAGGCCATAGAGATATGAACCAACACGCAACATTTGGCTCACTTCAGTAATCGTATCCGAGAATAACATTAGAAACGCAAAGTATACGGTTATAACTATGTTGCTCCAAAACCAAAGGTCTCAGAGATGCGACCTCCCATAAGGTTGAATTTGTTACTTAAGGTCAATTTGCCCAGAACTATAATCCATCTCAGGTCCAAAACTCTCCAGCTCTGACTCAATATCGAAGATTTCTTCTTTTTGGTGGAAAAGCTCCCTGACCAGACATGAGACCGCAAGACTAGCAATGACTACAATACATCCTAAGACAGTAGATATATTTATATGCAATCGCCAGATAAACCAGTCCAGGCATAGCGCCCACAGAACTTGCGAGTAAATCATAATAGTTGCGCCTGGATTATCTGATCCTAGACCGGCAGTGAGAAGATACTCCATACAAAGACCTAGCACTCCTATAGTGGCAAGGAGGCACCACGATTTGACCTGAGTTGGCCATTCTATCCCTGGCATTGAAATTGAGAATATTGTTGTGATGACGAAGATACTAACGCCAAAGTAGTTGATGCTAACAAGTGGATGAACGTTTTTTCCTAGCCGACGCATTGCCGAAAGTGCAACCTGTTTGTAACGAAAAGTTAGTTTGTTCAACTTTTTATAGCTCAACAGCATGACTAATGGAAGGTTCTAATACTGCATTTGACTGAAACTTACAATTCCGCCAGCCACACCAATGATTCCAGAGACAATGCCTTTGTGATATGCATAAGGTTCTGCAGAGAGACTTGCTAAAGTCTTGGCAGGTTGTAGGACTAAGAAAACGCCTAAAAGTGCCGTAATTGATGCGATCACATCGAGGAATGCGACTTTGCTGTCTTCCAAATACCTTGTTAGTATAATAGCGCCAATTGGCGCTATAAAATTAACTGCTGTAGCTTCGCTCAGAGATAGGTATGATATAGACACTGGATTGATTAGAACTGCTGTTGTGCTCTAGAGTGAAAGTATGAGACTGTCTTACTGTAGAACCCGCATGCGCCAAAGACTCCTCCCGCAGCACGCAACGCTAATAGAGGCCTCCATTCGGGAGAGCCGAGGAAGTTTGTTCTCGATCGCCAGAGGAAGAGACTACATCCAATAACTGTAATAAGCAAGCGGACTTGCAGTACTGTGAAGGGATGTACTCTCTCTTGAAGGCCAGATCCAGTCTCAACGATTCGAGCAAGAGCATGCATTAATGCTGCTACAATCTGAGAACTTAGAACGAGGAAAGCAGCGCTGTGCCGCATAAGAAATGAAGGCCGTTTCGTTGATTTCTCCATCTTCAAAGGGAGATTCCCAACTCGTAAGCGATCCATTGGTAATTTCCAGTATTTTACTCATACAGTAAGGTTTAATGCTTTGAGGTGGGTTTCAAGTGATGAGACGAAACGTTAGGAGTAGAGAATCTGATCTTTGCTCGCACTCAAGGTTGGGTGTGGGTTTACTGCACTGAGCGCGACACAGACCTTTCACTCGCTAGCAAAAACCATCTCCAGATGTTTTCCTATGAATTATCGAGTGCCAATAAATCTTAATTCCGAAGCTTGGTAGATTCGAGTTAATATCTGAAAGAATCAACATTACCGGAAAATCTAATATGTACCGGCGATTGTAGCACATGTCCCAAGGCTGATGTCGGACATAAAGCACGATATCAATGTATGATCGCATGTTAGTGAATACTTCACGTCAGAAGCATTGCTGATGTTTATATCGGAGGTTTTCCGCTTTGCAGTAAATAGTCGGACAATTGTAGACACGAAGCACATTCAGTAGTTTCATCAACACAACCGTTCCATCAGCCCTACATACCGAGTTATCTACCCCACAAAAGCTTTCTTGCAAATACTCCATGTAATGGTCATTAATTGGCCTCAAACCTGATTCCAAGTGCCTGCGCAGCAAAATGCAGGGAGCATACTATCAACCCGTCGACGCTGTCAAATTCGATCATTCAGAAGAAGAGGGCCACTCATATCGTTCGTCAAATCGTCTAAGGCAATTTCTCAACGGTTACCTCAAATCCCCTTTAATTATACTCAATTCCATTCTTGTCCTCTTACTCGGCCTACTGGTGGGCATCATCTCTTGGAACTACATCGACAAAGTCAGAGTATCAACATGCGGCCAAACACCAGATGAAGCACGAGCCAAGGGATGTCTTTTTGAATCACATAATTTTGCCTGGACACCTCCTGAGTGTTACGACAAAGAACTCAACGCGAAGTGGGATTCGAAAAATTGGGGCTATTCACGGAACGCGGAAGGCACTGATATGATTTCTCAGGAGGAGATATTGCTGGGCGAGCATAAATGGGCTTACGTCACCCTTAACCAACATCTGTCGCACTGCATCCTCATCTGGCAGAAATATCAGCGAGCTGTTATGTTCCAACGGCCTGCAGATAACTGGACTGCAAGTTTTGCCCACACATACCATTGTGGGCATATGCTAGTCCAGTGGGGCCTTAATCACAGTGCATACGACAGCATACTGTATACCAAGTATGTCTCTTGCGATTACAGCTGGAAGTCACCAGATTTTCGTATGTTCAGTGCAATGAACGGGCCAGTTGACGGTGGCTTGGTTGGTGATGACGGAAATCATGCGGATAGTATGAGCGGTAAAACTCCAATCGACCCCGGGCACGAAAATGAACATAGTATCCAGCAATTATAAGAGGCGCTTACCATTTACATCAATGATATTGTGCAATGGTCCCGAATTTCACATAGCTAAATAGGTAGAAAGGTGTGGCGTGCTCGACAAGCGAGCATGACATTCAGAGATATTGTAGGCAGCTAGGATAATTTAATCTAGTACACTCATTTTCTATGCAAGAACTCTGCCTAGTTAGGACGCGCGACGGTGTTGATGTTAATAGTTATTCATGCTCTCTGAGCCTTCAAACGTGAAGTCCGTGCGCTTGCTTCCAGCCATTTCGTTCCTACAAGAGAAACACTCTAGTGTTTTTAGATTCATACTCAGTAGGGTAGGAAAGTTCAGTGTATGAGAAAATTTTACATTGCTCGTCCACTTGCTTATCCCTGACTGTTGGCCCTGGGGTGCTTGTTTTCACTGCTCTGCACAGCTAGAGTTTTGATCAGGGTGCTGCTACAACAAAAGTCATATGTATTGAAACCATGCTAAACATATCAAAAACGAAGCATTGTCGCGATAGCAGCGACTGAGTACTTCAAAAGAGTAAGGCAAACAGGTCCCCTTTGGATGAAACGTGAGAGATGGAGAGGAACGAGGAATTGCAGCATACTACAGATCAATCTTATCCATTCACTGGTTGTTCTTGTCTAAATTCCTGTGACTAGATTTATATAGCACATACGACTTTCATCCCCTAAACATGTGAACTGACGTATCCAGATGATCGTGTCCCGCAAGCGTACCCAAATGAATGACTAGGAAGGGAGTGAGTGGACAATCTCTTCCAAAATGAACAGAAAGCTCCCTCAAAACTCTTTGATGCGCTTGTAGGCACAATAGCTCATAGTATCGCGCTTCTACCTGCTCCATGACCTTTCCATGTTATCCACACTTAAAAGGAGAACTGGATGGCGCGCTTCTCCTTCCACCCCTCGGGGGCTGTGGTCGTGTGACCCTCGCTCTTCTCGTAGTCCTCTGGGCTAAGGTTGGTATTGACGTCCTCTTCACGCTTCTTGAAGGAAACCTGGATAGCACGCTTCTCCTTCCACCCCTCAGGGGCTGTGGTCGTGTGGCCCTCGCTCTTCTCGTAGTCCTCTGGGTTAAGATTGGTATTGACATCCTCGTCACGCTTCTTGAAGGAGAACTGGATTGCAGGGTCGCGCTTCTCCTCCTCTCCCCGCTTCTTGAAGGAGAACTGGATGGCGCGCTTCTCCTTCCACTCCTGAGGAGGCACAGTAGTATGTCCCTCGCTCTGCTCGTAGTCCTCAGGGCTCAAATTGGTATTAACATCCTCGTCACGCTTCTTGAAGGAGAACTGGATTGCAGGGTCGCGCTTCTCCTCCTCTCCTCGCTTAAAGGAGAACTGGATGGCAGGGTCGCGCTTCTCCTCCTCTCCCCGCTTTTTGAAGGAAAACTGGATGGCGCGCTTCTCCTTCCACCCCTCAGGGGCTGTGGTCGTGTGGGCCCTCGCTCTTTTCGTAGTCCTCCGGGCTCAAATTGGTATTAACATCCTCGTCACGCTTCTTGAAGGAGAACTGGATTGCAGGGTCGCGCTTCTCCTCCTCTCCTCGCTTAAAGGAGAACTGGATGGCAGGGTCGCGCTTCTCCTCCTCTCCTCGCTTGAAGGAAAATTGGATGGCGCGCTTCTCCTGGTCGAGAACTGCGTTTTCTGGCTGAACTGGCACTGCGTATGCGTGAATACCATTGATACTAATAGATTGAACTCCTGTAGCACTTACGAGCCAAAGCCTGAATGACAAGAAGGAGAGCGGATCCGCTCATCAAAGTCGAGATTTGAACCATGTTGAGTATGGTGTCAAGGAAGACGGGATTTGGGTAGTGTTAAAGGCTTTGGTAACTGAGGTTGAAGAGTTCAAAGTAGTACTGTGCTGTTTGATACCAAGTGAGCTTGAGCAGATAATTTGATCAGGTTGGATGTCTACTAAACTTATATTCACTAGATCGTAACAAAGTCGCTATTATTCTTTCAAAGCTTTGAAACAGGTGAAGAGCATTTCGGTATCTTCGGAATTTATCCAGCAGGTATAGGACCCATGTAAGGATTAATCGCCTTGATTTTGTTACAATCGAGAGTTCAAGGCCAAGAATAGCGTTATTATGGAGTTTGAGCATAGGCCTCGGAGTTTATCAATGTCCTAGTCACATTGTATTCTACCCATGACTCATCTACCGTTACCTGCTCATGCTGATTTCACCGTGTCCGTCGACCCGCTCATCTCATCGTCGCCGCAAGGTCCACCTCCATTCGATTCTATCACATGTCCTTCAGAAACAATTGCTCCCGCATACGGACCATATTCTCTACCGCTCACCAGAAACTTCATGTACCTCTCTTCTTCTACGATATCCGAAGATATGGATTCTAAGGAAACCAATCTCCTGCTCGATAAAGGCTCAGCATATCGAAAACTGTCCAGACAGCCGCACAGAGTTTATATTGTGGGATGCCTAACTGCCACGGTCTTCGTAGTCATGTTAGCACTACAGATTTGGCAGTCGCAATTGCTAACATCGCTAAATGAGAAGATTGATGCTGTAAACCAAGTCCGCCCTTATAACAAACATTACGCAGAACAAGAAGTCAAAACGCAGTCCGCCTGCCGATCACCAAACACGCGACGTTCATGGAGGTCACTTTTAAGGGAAGAAAGGACAGACTTTATCAATGCAATGCTTTGCCTCTCTACAAAGCCATCATTTCTTGTTGCAAACACAAGCATATACGATGACTTTACAAGAATACATGCCATCACTGGAAAAGCTTGTAAGTCAAGATTATCAGGAAGCCAAGACGTTCACTAAAGGAACACAGACCATTTTGTAGCTGGTGATCACGCTTGGCATAGATGGCATCTTCATTTGTTCGAATATGCCCTCAGAAACTCTTGTGGCTACCGAGGACGTTTAGTGTTTGATCTCCCCTAGGCATCTAAACCTATACCTTGCTAATGTCTACTTAGCTACTGGGAATGGGAGCTTGACTTCGAGGACCCTGGAGCTTCGGATATATTCGATGCGAACGCTGGTTTTGGCGGCAGAAGTACTATAATCCCCGACGTGACCGAGGAGACTCTTTCTTCCCTTAACTTAGACGAAATTTGTTGTGTACGGGACGGCCGCTTCAAAGACCTTACTCCTGCATGGAATATGGCGAGGCCCCAGCCAAATGTAAAAGCCCCGCTCGAATTTGAACCACACTGTTTGCGTCGATGCTATACATCGAATCTCGTAAACTATGAGGCAATTAACGGCACATGGACTGACCTTGCCTTCTCGCCGCAACGTATCGAGGAACTACTGAGTATGACTGATTTCGATGAATTCAATTTTGCGTTGGAAGACCTGCACTTCTGGTTTCCCACGTCAGTCTGGGGGGATATTTCATCGCTATTAGCTCCAAACGGTACGTTAACAGAGAATTTCTCTTCTGAATTCCTCTAACTTCTTAGAACCTCTTTTCTATCTTCACCTTACGAATGTTGACCGAATTTGGTGGAAATGGCAAAAGCGGCATAAAGGAGCAATCGATGGCTTAGACGATCCGTTGGAATTTATGTCTTATCCAGGAATGCCAGATCACCCTCTTAGAGTCAAAGATGTTGTGAAAACTGAGTCAGATCTGCTGTGTTATAATTATTCTACGTAGTAGCCGGCGATAGACGAGATCTTCCTCTCTTCCCTCGAGGTGTTCGACTTTTATTCATCTATTTCACAAGAACCATGTACCTCGGGAGAATTCTCGGCTCTACTTTTAAGCCGGGAGATGGCTCTATAGCTTTGCCTTTCAATCGTTCTCGTCGACTGTGCATGAAAGCGTAACCTAAGATGCTATCTTCTCTAATAATTTCTTATACAAAGCAAATGTTCTTTTGCTACCAAGCCCTTGATAAGTTTGAGCCATCTGACGCACTCTGACACCACTGAGTTCCTCATGTGAACAAAACCGAACATCTCATCTTCTCCATAAGACCCATCCCATGTTCCAACACTGCTTCCGCATTCACAGTGAAGCTAGCTACTGCGACTGCAACACAAACCGTTTTTCTAGGAACATGCGGGATACCTTGTGACTTCGAAAGTAGTAAATATCCGATGCTTCACCGTATGATGGCCGCTCGGAGGTTTTGTAAGAGGGGGTAGGTACATGGGAGATCTACGACAACGACCGGATTGCGCACCCAAGTTCTAGATTAAATTTGTGCTGCATGCATGTTCTATAGGAAATTCCGGTATGGACCAGTCGGAGGTTTTCTGTTCTGACTTAGCTCATGACGGACTTGTAGAAAGATTGTCGTCACGAAATTTCGCCTCTGGTACTTCTCCTGCTCTCACTCTTCACGGCAGGCGCTTTTGAAATACAGTGGAAACTGTTCCCACGATGAACGTGAGAGATCGGATTCTATTAATGTTGGCGGCATGCTGTCTTGCATCTCCCATCGCAGGGAACAAATTGGTAAGCTCGACTCGCGTCTAGCAACATAGCGTATCATTCAACAACACAGGCGGCTCTCCATGAAACATCCCAGGCGACTCTCGACAACACAGCCAAATTCTCAGTAGCTGACTGCGGCTCCTCTCTCCCCGAAGCACGGCTAAAAGGTTGCAAATTCTCCCCCATGGTAACATCCTGGACACCGACCGCATGCTTAAGCTCCGCCCTCGACTCCGAATGGAACGCCAGCGGACGGAAGTACTTTCTCGATCAAAACGGCACACAAGAGGCAAGTCACGACGCCGTCACACGCGGAGATGTTGAGACATACTGGATCGACATGAACACCCATGTAGCGCACTGTGTATACGCTTTTCGGCAGATTTACCATGCATATCAGCAGGGAAAAGGTCTTGGAGCTGTGCCAGCGCATGTCATGAAGGAGGAGCATTTTTATCATTGCTTGACGTTTATGTCGACTGGGAATTTCTCGGGGGATGCGCTTGTTAGTGTTGTTCATCAGAGTTATACGCATTGTTAGACTAGGCTGAAGCAAACGCCAATCCTTGCGATCTTGATGAAGGCTGGTTTATAATGTAAGGGGGGTAGATCTTCTAACACAAAATGGACCATGTAGAGCGGCTTCTCCTGCTTTACCTAGTCGAATCAGTGCTGCGAATATCTAGCGTTCGAGAATGGTATGGTTTTGGCGAAGGAAGAGGCGACAGTCGGAGTATATCGGCGCGAGAAGAAGGGGCGCGCCAGTGGGTGAGCTAGTGGGAGATTAGTGAGGCTGGTGGGGGGACGTGCATAGGTTGCTGCGTTTCGTGGGAAAGCATAACTTTGTTCGCGTGCGTCAGGTGGGCTGTAAGTCGGGCTGCCCAGGTAAGTATGGGGAAGACCTTGTGACGTGTGTTTGGTTTGAGAATTCCCAGAACGTAATCTTGGAAATTGGAATGCGGTGCAGTCAACGACTCGCTTCAAGCTTATGCGTGCATAAACTTTGTGATAGAAGAGCTTCTCCGTGATGAGCTGTGTACACATCTGTTGCAAAATAAACAGTGAGTACGGTGAATTCAGTATGATCTTCATGACATGTTAACGTGTAACCGTTAAATCTTTCTATAGCTAGTGACTACCATTAGACATTTTATCGCATGGCCATTGGCACATGTACATCTCTCTCCTATCATCAGGCAGTAATGCCGCCCTCCTTGTGCAAAGCACTAACAGATATTCTGTAGGTAAAGCAGGAAAACTGTGTCCGTGGCCATGTCTCTCGTTGGAGACGACGCGATTCATTCACGCTGCCATGTACGGGCCACGAAGACTTGTTGACACTGCGTGAGTGGCGTGTATTGTTGGTTCATAGGAGAGGATTTTGGTCCATCTTCCGTGATATTCTGCAGTCGTATTCACATCCTGCATGGCTCATCCTGCGGCGGGCAGGCGAGGAGAGTTGCCGGCTGGTGGGTTCGTGGATACGCTGTCACGCGTGACCTCTCTGAGCGCTGCCGCATAATCTGATTCAGCAACCATGTCATCTGATTTCAAGGCGTTTGGGTTATCGGCCAAATGACGCTGGTGCTGTTTTTGCGTAGACTGCGAGCTATGCCCTTTCTCTGACATCTGGTCTTCTAACGCACTTGGTACGAGGTCTTCTGGCGCGACACCGGCGCCTGGGTCCCGAATGTGACTGTGATTTGGGAATACAACAGAGTCCTTCTGCGCTCGCCGAGCCCGCTTTGGTTTGAACGGGAAGTTGTTGGGGTGGATGTAATCGCAGTCAGGGCTGCGTACGGCCTGGAGGGCATTTGCTTCCCTTTCCATGTCTTCCCATGTGGCTACCAGATTGCCGTCGTTGCGGGAGCGGCTGTCCGACAAATCGCCAGAGAAGCTGCCTAGTCGACTGATCCTAAAAGCTCTCAGGCGATCCAGCGCCATCTTGAAATCGTCCAATACCACGGCGTCCGTCAAGCACTTGAAGACAAAGGCTAGCTTCCAGAAGGGATTGATACCAGTCGTCCCCGGGAGTCTGATTGCCTTGGTGACGGTCAAAATGTCGCAGATGATGAAAATGATGCTGAGGACCATGGAAAGCAGCATTATGCCGAAGCGCGGCGAGATGCGGACGATTTCCTTGAGGGACAACTCGTATTGCGTCTTGATCACCCAGAACAGTAAGACAGTCGCGAAGATCCACCAGGGATCACGACACAGTGCCTCCCACGGCCGTGTTTTGAGGAAAATGTCGTTGATGTTGTGGAAGTAGGCAAAATTGGCGTATATCTCCAGGACCCAATACGGCTGTACAAGGATGACTGTGCCGATGAATGCATAGCTCGCCCATTTAGATAAAAAGGGCTTAATCTTCATCCAGGCGATGACGTTGTGCAGCGACCAGGAGGCGTTCAAGAATATTGCGGCGACCGACAGCCACCATCCATTAATGGGCTGTCTGAAGAATAGCCAGAAACCTTGCCAGAGTCCAAGAACAAGTTCAAGAAGAATGAGCTGACGAAGTATTAGTGCGACTGTTCGCGATGTTATGTGGCAGCACTTACCTTATGCAATAACACGCCTCGCCTCATGTTCGCTAAGGTTATGGCGATCAGTATCACCAGAGATCCCACCAAAAGACCCTGGGCCCAAGCCTCCAGAATCAGCTCGATGGCATCCCATGACTCGAAATCGAGAACTGCCGAAGCATTCCTCGGGGTAGGACTTTCTATCACAGTCCTGCGGACCATGGGGCTGGACAGTGGACTCATGTGGTCGCAGAGTTTTCGATGTTCCGATTTCCGGTTCCGAGGGAAGCGTCGCTCTGTGATGTCACCGCGAGAAAAGTCGAATGCACGACCTCAACATAATACCATCGCGGGAGGATGCGAACAAAGCAGGCGGGATGTGAAGGTTAAAAGCAAAAAGAAGAGATGACACCGAGTACGAGCAAGACCTGGCCTGGGCGTTCTCGTGCTCTCCGCCATTTCTCCGCATCTCGCCCATGACAATTGTGGACAGCGGGAGGCGTCGAGGCGACGAGTAAACAGCTGCGCCAACGCTGACACTAAACCCTGCAAGCTGTAGTGTCAATGACACGGATTGTGGCGCTTCAATGTCGAACGGCTTGGCCAGGTCACGGGCGGTTGTCTGACTAGGTTGTCGAACATGCACCCAAAAATTGCCGCCGATCCGTAAACCTACATGGTGATTGACTTCAAACGTCGCCCGTGCAAACTTCTTGGAGAACTTTACCATGCGGCGACAGGACATGTGCAATCTTACACAGCAAGTGGCAGGATTCTGGCGCAGAGTTTCTTGCTGAACGAAGCGCTGACGATCACGATGATGTTGTGTGCCTGGCGGTTGAAGTCTAAATGATGCAAGTACCAAATTATTGGTCCAACGCCGACCCTCCCACATGTGCGCAGCTGAGCGACGGCTCGGGATAGCCACATGCAAAACGGGCGGCCTGGCCAAAAACCTGGGACCTGGGGATCTGCGGCCGCCCGAACGGGCGGAGCGCAGTTCGCTGCTTTGTTATTGGAAGGGTTGGCTGCGCCGCATTTTCTCGTACTGAATGGAACGCTAAAGACTCGTCCTGCAGTTCTCTCATTATTGCAACAACAAGGACTGGACATATGTGCACGTGAATACGTGCGAAAGTAGTGGATGGGCGGTGCTGCGTTCAGGTGCAGGAAGCACAGTAAGACGCGTCCAGTACATCTCATTTTATCCCATTGGATATGCAGATGCGCTGTGCTGTATACCTCTGAAATATGACATCCATTTGCTTCTTTCAGACTGGCCTCGCGGTCCGGAATGTGTCTGTAAAACGCGAATGCAATGAGCACGGTTGTGTTCAATGTACTGCATACTGATTCAGATACCGAGTCTGGCAAATCAAAACTCATCATGACTTCCTTGGAAGCTCACTTCCGGTGAGGACGGTCCTGAGTCTGTCCGAAAGCTGACGAAGGTGACGGTAAATGTGCATAGCGAAAGCCAACGGTGTCCTCCACCACTGCCTCATCTCAGCTTACACTTAGCTTACACCCAGCTTGTCATGAACGGCAATGATTACGGAAAGTTGGTGAGTCCGACCTCATTCGTGATACCCTGAGCAATTACAGGCTGCAGTGTAGACAAGTTGCCCTGATGCGCTTGCCTCGACGGAGCCCTGGAATAGATCGACATTTTGTAGCTGGCCCACTGGATCTGCATTTGTACCCTCCAGGCAACAGCAGATCGTTCACATACGAACGAACACGTATTCTTCGAATGAGTTACGTCTTCAGGAAAGACTGATGTCGTGGCCAGGATGAGTGACTTCGACTCATGCACGGGGAAGGCAGTATCCGCTTTAACGTGTTCTAGCGCGACTGCCCCGCTGAAGTCATCGACAACCCGCTACGCAAACATTTAATGTCAAGAGTGTGAACCGATCTCCTTGTAGCTTCACAGTCTTCACACCCGTGCCATAGCAATCTGTTCAACATGTTCAAGAAGAAACCTAACGTACGTGATGTTCTTGAACCTCTAAAACTGCGCAGCATGGCTAAGTTAGGCAGATCAAGCCGCTTTCGCCCCTCAAAAGCAGCGACCGCCGCCGGACCGCCGACCAAATTATTGCAGACTTTGGCATCGAAGTGCCAGTCGATGCAAATGCGGACCCCGAAGATAAGACAGCTTCCACGGCCGGTCTTACCGCGCTGAGGAAGTCGCTCCTTCCCGAAAATGCCCTGTCCGCACGCTTCACCACGACAGCAGGGCCGGACCTCAAACAAGTATCCGGCACGGTATACGTTGGCAGCCACGAAGGCACAAGCGGAGAACAACGGATACTCTGGGTCAAGCTCTTCGACAAGATGTACCCGACAGTATACACGCTCTGGCACAATCCGCGCATTGTTCCTCTGCTGTATACACCCCTGGTAGTGGTCGAGAAAATGCAGGCTGGCGCAGACCTCATGACGCCAGGATTGCAACGCGGTCCTCCGTTCCCGAAGAAGGCGACCAAAGGTGCCATTGTTGCTATCGCCAGCTTAGAGGCACCCACCGTTCCGATGGCTGTCGGCACCTGCGAGATCGACGTGAGCGCGTTAGACAAGGTGCAAGGAATGAAGGGTCAGGCTGTGTCGACTTTCCACTGGGCTGGCGACGAACTGTGGTCGTGGAGTTCTGCAGGCAAGGCAGGCACTGATCCGCCAGACATCGTTCCAGGCTGGGATGACGAGCAAGATGAGGATACAAGCCTGGCGGAGCGCACAGCAGCAGTAGACCTGGATGATCAAGAGGGCGGCGTGTCGCTCGACGCAAACCCCACCGAGCGTTCCGAGGCAGAGAAGTCGCAGGGAGTTGAGGGTGAAGATGCGCCGTCGAATCATGACTTTATCGACGTGGTGGACGACAAGGAGCTGACGACCAAGGGTAGGTCATGACATTCCCTCGCTTCAAGTTTTATTGACACAGGCAGAAATCGACGACGCCTTCAAGAACGCATTCCTCTTCGGCGTAAGACATCACATGGAGCACAACAGAGGACAACCAAACTATGGCCTGGACTTCCCTCTATCACAGTCGCACGTTATGGCCCAGCTCGTTCAGCCTTTCCTTCCCACGTACACCCCCGCGCGCACCGCATCATTACAGATCAAGAAGTCGAGCTGGAAGAACATCAGAAAGTTCATTAGATACCTCGACAAGCAGCAGATCGCCAAGTGCAAGGACAGAGATGGGAATGAAGTCGTTATTACGGACATTGACTTCAAGGACCGGCAAGTCGAGGCATTCGTGCCATACCGTTTGCCTAAAAAGGACGCACCAGCTAGTGCAAATGGCAAGTCCGCAGCACCGATGGCTGCTGAGGGGTCTGTGGGGCAGAAACTGAAGCTTGTCTCTCTGCTTCGGCCAAAAGAGAAGCTGGCCCCCATTTTCCATGCCTCCAAGGCGGACCCGCGGGGTCTGTACACACCTGCAGAGCTCAAGCAGATTCTTCTTGCGTATGTTGAGGCAGAGAATCTCATCGATGCGAAGAACAAGAGGCTTGTGAGACTCAATCCGCAACTCGCCGATGGACTGCTTGGATCATCAGCAGCAGATAATGCGGCCCTGTCATCAGGAAACATTCCACGAGATGCGCTTGCGGAACGTATGGTTGCAGCATCATCGCCCTTCTATGCCATTCTCCGCAACGACGCAGATATTACCGACACAAAGCCCAAGGCCGGCGCGCCACCAAAGATTCAGATCACACTGGAGACGCGCAGCGGTAACAAGACTGTGTCCAAGGTGCATGGCTTCGAGCCGTACCATATCGCGCCGCAGCCCCTTGCTGACGAGCTGCGTAAGACATGCGCAGGCAGCACAAGTATAGACAAACTGCAAGGCTCAAGCCCGAAGAACCCTGTCATGGAGGTGATGGTTCAGGGGCCGCAGAAGGATGCGATCATCAAGGCACTAGAGAAGCGTGGTGTTCACAAGAACTGGGTGGAAGTTGTGGACAAGACGAAGAAGAAGAAATGAGTCAAGAGTTGTTGCGATAGCTTAATGATACCCACTGACTGTGTGTTCGCACGCAGAAACTGTCATGGCAGTGTTCGAAGTTCAATTGATTCGACGGACATGTCACCCGCGCCGCATGCATGTCTCGGGATCTGCATTTAGCACGTCTTTCGGAAGCCGGTGCTCGCAATTCCGAGCCTCGGCAGGGCGATAAGGATGACAGCACCTGCAGCTGCTGAAAACATGACTGTATCTTATATTCGCTGATCTTGTAGTTGTTTTCCTTCTTGTTCGCTTTTTCCTTTTCGCTCTGGTGTTGTCTTATTGTTATGATCACAATGGCACAAGCAATCAGCATCGTTGTTGCTGGAGCTTCCCTCGCCGCACTCTCTTCGCAACCCGCACTGCGCGCGACCCTTACAGACACATTATCGCGATGGACAGGCTACAACGCACCTGGCGGTATATGGCGAATCGCTGCGATCCTGCTCGCCCTGGCAAATCTTAAAAACCTACCAGGCGTGTGGCATGTATGTCTTCCCACCCCAACCGCAGGAAGAAACAACCATGAGGACTGATTCATTCGCAACAGCTGCGCTTCTTCCGCGCCCTCGTATACCAAATATACTTCCAACCAACCCCAATCCCGCCTCATGCGCTCTTTCAACCCATCGTCACATCGACCCGCACCCCGCTCCTCGAAACGGACTACAACATGCACAAGTCCAACAGCACGTATTTCTCCGACATGGACATCTCGCGCACGCACCTCTTCACCGCGATAATCCGCAACGGCATCAAGAAGAACAGCCGGCTCTATGGCGCCAAGAAGAGCGCTGTGCCAGCTGGCGCAACTGAAGGCACGCGAGGCCGCCACCTGATCGCGCTCGGCGGGATAAGCTGCCTATTCAAGCGCGAGATCCTGCCGTATACGAAATATGAAATGTGGACGCGCGTGCTGTGCTGGGATCGCAAGTGGTTCTATCTCGTGACGCATCTTGTCAAACCTGGTGTGGGTAAGCCGAAGACGTGGACGCTGCAGCCGTGGCGCAAGGTCAAGGGCAGTGAAGTCGAGAGAGAGAAGTTGATGGGCGCGGTGTATGCGACGGCTATTGCGAAGTATGTGATTAAGCGCGGGCGGATTACCGTGCCGCCTGAGCAGGCGCTTGTGGATGCGGACATGGTGCCTGTAAAGCCTGAGGGATGGGTGTATCATGGCGAGACTGCAGTGAATGGGGATGAGAGTACGGAGGATATGCTGCCACAGCAGGTCAGTGCGGACGAGTGGAATTGGGATGTCATTGAGAAAGAGCGATTGAGAGGTTTGGAAGTGGCGCAGAAATTTGCGGATATGGATGGGATGCATGAGTACTTCGATGGCGGGAAGGATGGCGCATTGGGCGAGTATGCGGACTTGTTGTTCTAAGATGCATGTCAGAGAGGTGGATATACCCTAGAATCCTGTTTGTAGACTGAGTACATGTAAGTGAAACGACCGTGTTGAATATGATCCAAGTCATGATATGTAAAGCCAACAAATTTGAATTTCTATAAAACTCCAACGCCTCTGTTCCATGTGTAATCGACCGAATCATCCCCTGGCAAACACTCCATACATCTCCTCCATCGTCTCCATCACTCCGACTACTCCTCCAGCTCCAGCTCCTCTTCCAGCTCCACCCCCTGCCCATATCTCTTCCGCCGTCCCCATCACTGCGCCTTCTTTTCTCCCTTGCCATCCTCCTTGCCCTTGCCATGCAGATGCTCAACATGGCCCTTCAGATGCTTGACCTGGTCTTTCAAGCCTGCTGCATACCATACAGCCAGTGTCAAACACAGGAGCAGGACTGCTGCGAAGGTGTAAAGCGACATGATGTTTAGTGGTTGGACGGTGTGTATAGGTATGTGGTTATGAAGGTGTTTCGTGTGGCTCAAAGCCGTGTGTATAGATGTTCAGTGCGTTGCTGAGCTCGCCCAGTGTGTCTGGATGATGTAGATCGTATGTATCTGACTTTCGAGAGGAAGTGATGGGTGTTGATGATGTGGAATGTAGCTCTCCTTCATTCCATCTTTATACATGCGACAATTTTGAAATGTTCGTGGGGTAGAACATGTCTGAGACACCTCATCGGGGCGAGTGGGATGGTTTGCTAGTTGTCTTGGAGGCGATCAGACAACGCCGTTGTTGAGGATTTTGTCAACTGAATCGTGTTTGCGAGGCTCAGTGTGAGCGACTGAGACAGTCTAGGAATTGTCTCAGAGGCGGCGGGATGATCGCTTTCCGCCGAAGTGTTCAGAAGTTAGGCGCCTCATGCTGATCGTTGAGAACACATGGTGTTTTCCTCTATTCCTGCTTGCACCCGTTGGGGTAAAGACGCTCTATCTGTTTAACAGTACACATTACTAATATATCTTAATTTACAATATGTTACGTCTAGTTTGTACATACATTTTTGTTGAAAGTTTTGCATTGATTGCTCATGAAGATATTGCAAGTGTTATGATTGTTTTACTCCATCCTTGCTACCCATACTGCCGCATTCGCCCTTACTTTCTAAAACTTGGTGTTTGTTTCCTTCTTCTCCACCAATCTTAGATACCCCACCCTGAGTTATTAACTACGTTGATTCCACTAGCGAGCCCAAGATTGTTCCAAGAGACTGGAACAGCGGTCACAGATCCGGCCCCAGTCACATCCAGGGTATGACCACGTAGGTAATAGTATTCGGGCCATACATGCCTATTCTCATCGCACTCCGGACGTGTCTCCCAGCAATTGTAACCAGGTTGGATTGAAATTCGGCTCACATTCGAGCCACGGCACCGGAGCTGTCGCATGACGCTTGTTGCAAGTTTATGCATGATCGCTTGAGTCGCATACACCTCTTCGTCCGTGATGCCAACTGTATTTGCAACTGTGGGATTCTCTGGCTTCCCGTAATCGATGACGGGTAAAGTAAACATTCGCAAGAGGCGAAGACTACGATGGCTGGTAATGATCTCCTTTAACGTTGTTAGTGCATGTGCAAAGTATGTGGCTTCATCCATACGTACCAAGAAAGCTTCAAACTCGGTTGAGGCGCGTTGGACATTGTTGATTGTGAGAATCTCAAAGTTGGAACCGAGGGTCTGAATATGACCCATGTCGACGACAGGGAAATCGACAGCGAGCCCCTCAAGAAAGGGACAACTAGTAATAACAGCTTGAATAGTTTCCACACTCAGACTTTGTCGAGCTTTAGGATAAGAAGATAAACCAAGTTGACGTAACAATGAGCCGTGTCTTGAGAGGCATGACACGTCGATCATTCGTGCATCTTCCATGTCTAGCCACAAACCCTTGAGCTCTGAGAAGCTGCCAAGCAACTTCTCTATTGCCTGTGTGATTTTGTCTTCTTCATCGAAGACCACAATCTCCAAGGTGTCTAGCGCGGCCGACTCAGATAACGAGGATGCAAGGGAAGTTATGACAGGCACAATATTGCCACATCTGAACAGCCTCAGACCCCTCAGCGTTTGCAGGTTGACGTATTTGGCCAGAGTAGGTGGTGCCACCAGATTTAGGCTGCAGAGCTGAAGATGCAATAGCTGGAGAGGCTCAAAATCCAGCGTGATCGTGTTGATACCTTGGAATATATTTAGTCGCTCAGTTTCGCTTTCCATACGAGCTCTATCACCACTCGCCCATATCGAGAGAGATCTGATCTCATTTGAGCTATTGATCAAAGCTGCACCAGCTTTGTAACTATCAGGAACGTCATCTCGAATGTAAACAATGAGTTCCTCTAATTTCGTCAAAGCTGGCTCAACCCACGTCGTGTATGCAACGGAATCATATTTGACAGGGAAGTTGTACGTTGTACTGTCGACGCTTGCATAGAGTGTTCTCATGGTCTGCTGGCATTGCAACAGCTGGATCATGACGGATAGGCTGATAGGTAAGAGGGACATGATACCGCGAAGGCTATTCCGAGGAAGCGCGGTGATGATGATTTGAACCACAGCTTCGAGCTCGGGGGAATACCTGTCTTGACAATCATGCGGTTGATGCTTGATGTTTATGTATCGAATGTTTTTGATAATGTTGCTTTTCGGATTCAGTATCGCGGCCAGATTCTCCGCAGTGACGGTGTCTGGCTTTATCTCGAGTATCTTCCATTGTAGTGGCGCCATGCAAGTCAGCCAGTCTCTGCTGACCAGACACGATCGTGCTCTGTCAGTGTTGTTGCGGAGGAACGCAAACACATTGAGCTTCGTCTCGGTAGGCAGCTCAGAGAAAGTCGGCATGATCGTTGCGACAGGCGTGTAGTGCGCGTCGTGCAAATTCTGAGTTGAGCAAGAAGTAGCAAATGATTGAACGAGGCAAGAGTGGCGCTAGTTTTGTAAATCAATGGAAGCGTGCGTGGCCTGTGCAGCCCAAAAGATGGTCATTCACTGCGAGAACAGCAGACAAAAGTTCTCGTTTCTCCGCCGCCTATTTGTCCAAACGCAGAGGAGACAAGAGCGTGCAATTGCTGGGCGTCATGAAAGCGAAAGATTCTACTTATTGGAGCGGGGCATTCTATGCACATAACCGCTACTCCGAATGGTAAACATCAAGTGAGCTGTAGTACATGCATGACCAGATGGAAGCATCCTTATCCATCCCAATGTTATATTCATTGTGGTACGTTTTAGAAGACATTACTGGCAAAAACAACAATCTCTGGGCAGCTTGCAAATATGTCACGAGGGTGAGGCAGGGTGCGTGACGCGACGATTATTCCAAAGCGGAAGGAACCAAACGGCCCGCGACTGCCGATCCTGGTACTCAAAGATCTCACTATCAATCAGCAACTCCATGGTTGTTGACAAGACTGCGAAGACCGCTTGCGACATGCTGATGAGGTTGACGAAACTGTCTGGATGAGAGGTGCTCGCACGCTGCTCACCCTTCCAAGAACACGACAACTTCCGAGCGCTGTTATATCAAGACCTTCCAGTCGTCAATTGGCATCTAGATTCGAGTGGCTGGGTGTGTTAGGAATCTTCTCTGAGGGGAAGGCCTCGACGCCCTACATGTAGTCATTTTGATGGCGAGGAAAGAAAGGACAAATTTCATGCTCAGAACACTAGGATTGTGTCCAAATGACTCATGGTGAAAGTGAGAGCATTAGCAGTGTTATTGGAAGGTCTTGGCAACGCTGGAACTCTGGTAGCTCATCGCGACTGCCTCGACAAATCCTCCCAGTCACTCCGCTTCGCCACATGCACCTCGACTCTTGCAGTCGTCGTGATCAACCTGCGCATCTCTTTGACCACGAAAGCGACCTCACGTCATGGTGAACATTAATGAACACATGCCTGACCAGCTTGACCGCCTTCCCAACGAACTCAAAAGCGAAGTCGCGCACTACGTCACGCAGCTGAGTGAGCGAAAGGCACTCGTACTGGTAAACAAAGCATGGGCAGAGATCATTCTACCACATCTCTGGAATACCCTTACTACAGATCTACTGCAAACTGGCCAGAGGAATGTGAGAGGCCTCGCTCATGCAAATTCGAACATTACCAAGCACGTCAGTCGCATACATCTTCTCACTCGCTCGTGCGACACAAAAGTTGACCATCTGCCAACCCTGCTGGCAGCCATTCCTCGAGGACAACTTCGGACTTTCAAGAGCATCAGCACGTTGCAAACTTCTACTATTAACCTACTCCTATTGCTGCATTCCAACCTAGAAGAGCTCGAATTGCCATTAGGCCAGGCATTTGCCAATGCCGTTCAATCTGAATGGACGACGGGCTGTTTCTCAAATATTACGAGCGCTACAGTATTTGTCAATACCTTCTCTTGCGAAGGCCTGCAGAAGCTGTGGACGGAGTGTCCGAAATTTACTCAACTTAGTCTCGGGGCAACTAAAAATGGTGCAGCCATCCTGGAAGATGCATTTCTATCAACTCACAATGAGTGCGTGGGTACGACTGGGAACACTGGCGATGCCACATGCTCAAAGGCGAAACACCTCGGATTGAGACTGGCGTATCTCTGGCTGGGAGGCATCGCTTTGCCCGTATAACTCGATACCATGTTCCGGCAGATCAACATGTTGACTCTTCGTACCCTTTGGCTTGGGGCTACGGTCGGTGCAAGTAGGTTCCTTGAGGCAATGGCCATGGAGTTTACGAAAGGCCAGCCGAATCTTCAGAAGCTGAACGTCAGAATGGCTGCGATCCAGACACCAGAGCTTGCAACTAGTCTACTCCTGCTTCTAAACAGCTTCTACGGCCTGAAGATGCTCACGATACATCGTACCGACTGCGACAAGATCGATGTTGATAGTCTGGTCCACCACGGAGAAACTTTGGAAACACTTTCTATCGTCAACGGAGGAATACATCGAAGAGACGTGAACAAATGCTTCGATGCTTCAGACATGCAAAATATTGCTACAGGCTGCCCAAATATTCGCCAGCTGTGCCTGAATCTTTATGAAATTGCTGGAGACGAGAACGAGGACGACATACTGGGGCCACGGCAAGGTGTACCTTATACGCCAAACGAGTTCGAGCAGGCTCTCACAGCGATCGCGGGCATGCCTAAGCTCCGCATCCTCCGCTTTACCAACCCGCCAAATTACCGCAAGGCGTACTTCCGCAACGGAGAGCTCGCACGCTTCTTCCATCGGAACCTCCAAATGGGTCTAGAGCGCTACAGCTTCCAGGCACGTGCCGACGGTATCATGCAGTATCTGGGAGAGCATGGATCTGACCTCAAAGTTCTGGCACTATCTCCAATTGGAGTCACAGAGAAGGTCACCCTCGCGGACGAACATGGACACACCTGGCCGCACTACTACTACTATCGAGGACGAATGACGGATCACAAGGGCACTGATGTGGCTATCGCAAGGCCTTTGAGGAGTTGGAAGGACGAATGCCCTGACGCCTTGGTTCTGGAGGATGTTTAGGCCGTGGAATGGCCAGGCGGAGGTGCAGACACGGGCAGCAAAAGTGGAACTGATGAATCAGTCACAGACATTCGTGGATACGACAAGAAAGCGTACAACCAGTATTGCGTTAAGGAAAGTAAGCGCTGACGAATACACGGCGAGCGAGTTTGACTTCAGCCATGCCATCCAAAGCTCCTCATTCGTTGGAAGTACCAATGGTTTTAGTGTCGACATGGTCTCAACCCCGCGGGGAGTGACTCGACCAACCAACCCCGCATATCCAACTAGCAAAATCTTCACGCATCCATGTCCCCCATCACCTTTCTCATACCATCATCTCTGTCAGGTTCTTTTCCATACGAATTTAAATATTTTAATCTGGCGGCTTTCTATCGAATAACACAACTATCGGTCGCTTAGCTCAGTTGGTTAGAGCGTGGTGCTAATACTATCCTTGATACGCCAAGGTCGCGAGTTCGACCCTCGTAGTGACCATCTTTTTTGTCTGCATCGCTTGTATCGTTGTCTCAGACTGCCTGATGATTTTACTTTTTTTGCCCTAGGTTCAGGCTCGGTGTGATTGCGGTGAGAAGGTTGGTCCACAAAGACTGCAACAACACTGCGCAAGGAACTCAAAGAATGTAATGAATACCATTACAATTTGTCGAAGTCTGTACGCATGCCGTGCTTTGACTAGAGGTTATGTCTTAACACTAGGTGCTGCAACAATTCGTGCGCGCTGTGCCCTACGATCCTGAGCACTATCTACGAAGGAAGGTTAATTTAGTTAAGCTGTCTAATTTCAAGATTGCTTTAGCTCTTAGCAACGTACTAATCAGCTATCAATTCTATTCAGGCTTGTATAGACGATAGCAGTTGCTCTCCAATAGTAACTTGTGTCAAGACAGAGCGCGTACAATCATTGCAGCTCCCGGTGCTAGTCTTGATGACGGCGAGAAGAGAAGTTCTTTGAGACCGGGACCTAGTGACACGCTCAGGAAACACGGTCTAGAATCTGCTTAAGAGCTCCTGAACTACATCCCGAGCAACAAGACTGCTTTCATTCACTAAGACTACTAAGGTTTCCGCTGCCGCGATATATCTGCCTTGTACTTCAGAGGCCCCGCACTAAGTACTAAAGAGATCAGCAAGCATTTCTCTGAGATGAGCCTTCTGTAGGAGCCAACTGCTGGATCTTGGAACGCATATGCAACACTTGCAGATAAGCTTGACGCACGCGTTGAAGAGCGCACGGAGACTGATCTGAGGATTGTAGACATCGAAAGGCACTTGGCGCTTCAAGAAGCCGAGCGTACCGCCTCCATCTGCAAAGAACGACGCTGCGAAGTTCAAGATAACACCAGAAGAGTTTGGCGCCGTCGAAAATGAGAATAGTAGAGATGAAGATGCAGGTAGAGTACTCCCTAGCAGGTCTCTCATAAACAGTTCTACGTATGGTCATCTTTGGGGAAATGAGAAAAATGTCCCGGGGTAAATTGCAGCTTTATCTCAGAGCATTAGTTATCTCCCAATCTCCCAGACTATTGTCGCAGTCTCGCCGCATCATTTTACACTTTGCTTGTTTGGCAAATTGGGAGCTTGGGCCTCTTCATCACTGTCTATAGTCATCGATCGAGGTGTCGGATCGCTGTGTGAAGTATCTTCTTCTTGATTCTAGTCCAAGTAGGATATACTTGTGGGACTGCGTTTACGCAGTGAGTAGCTTCGTCTGTAGAGATTTGAACACATGGAAATGGAATAGAACGAGTTGCACGCTTTTTCTCTACGATTCAAACCCTGTTTCTACCATGCACCACATCTACCGGACAAACGCCATGGCACTCTTGTAGGCCACATTTCACTCATCGCACAGCCACTGACCCAGAAACCAAACTTATCTGTCGCAAGATATCCTCAAAGAACTTTCGCACTTGAAAAGATCACAGCGGTGAAACGCGTCTCATTTGAATATTAAATATTGCACGACGAACATGAAAACATGATCAAGTCGTCCAAAGAGTTTCATTCTTAGCACATTGAAGCGAACCACAATCACCCTGTTCAATCTGCATATACCCAGCTTGCTATATGACTTTTGTCCATGCCACGCCATGCAATGTCCTTGCATCCAACGCGATCCGTCATGGTCACGTAAATACTGTCCTAACGCCCAATATAATCCCTTCTAAGCGGCCTGCTCAGCAGCTTTCAGTGACACGGAAGAAAGCGAGTTCGTCACGTTCGAGACTGGTGCTTTTGGTGTCGAAGATCGTGGTGTCGATGCCCTTGGCGTGGAGGCTCTTGGTGTGGAAGCCCTTGGTGTGTAAATTCTCGGCGTCGAGCCTTTCGGAGTCTGCGACTTTCCACCTTGACGCTTAGCCTTCAGTGTCACCTTGTCCTTTAATTCGCCGCCGTTCGGAGCCTCGACCGGCCAGTCGTAATTCCAACGACCATCACCTGTGAATGGCTCCTTACGGATGAACTTTGAAACATCCGACTGCTGCCTCAAGACCTCCAAGTACCCGGCAACCTCTCGCAACACGTCACCTTCCATCTGTTCAGGCGTTGCCTCAAATTCTGGGATCTCCAGCAGATTGTGGGGCTGAGCACTGGCCTTCAGTGCGGAGTCGTCGATGAGGACGGTGTTGTGCTGACCAAAGCGCTGTCCCGCCTCGTATTGTGGATGATGCTGCTGGATCTGGTCTCTGCTCCAAATCAGTCTCAAGTTCTTGTACACTTGCACATTCTGATTGAAGTTGGCTGCCGAGAGTCCAAACGTGTCTCTCGCCCAGGTAGCTACCATCATGTCCTTGAGATCCTTGTCAAGCGCCTTGTCCACAAGTGCCTTTACGTTGGCAGGCCTCGCGCTTGACCATACCATGACTTTGAAGTTCTGGAAGAGATAGCGCAAGAAGGGCGAAAGATACGGACGCGCGATCATTGTTGTCGTACTATTCCTGTTTGGGCGGTAGAGAACGGTGCCATTGAGGTCCAGAATGACTAGGAGATGGCCAGGTGGGTCAATCAAAGATGGCTCTTCAGACGCTTGGCTCATGTAGAGATCTGTGGGCTGCGGCGCAGGCAACATGATCTTCGCGTCTCCGTATCTACCCTTCTTCAAGGCCTTGGCGGACTGAGGAGGACTGTGGATCTTGTCAATACGTGAAGTACATAGCCCGGGTGGGTCCACTCGATGGAGGGTGCCATACTCTTGAAGGTCGTCGCCGTTGGCTGCAGCCTTGGCTTTTGCCTTGGACTTCTTGTTCTTTTTCGGAGTCTGAGTAGGCGCCCTGTCACATGAGTTAGCGCCGCGATTCTTCGACTTGAGATCCTTGATTAAGGCAGTGAAAGCGTACTGGATGTCCTCCGTGCTTGCACCTTGTGGCCAATTCGCATGTTGCATCGCTTGGAAATGCGCAGGGTGTGGCTGTGGGTAGCCTGGCTGGCGCGGAGGCGGCGGCGGTTGGCGCTGCTGCGGGAAGTGTTGCGAGAAGAACTGCGGCGGGAACCCGGGCGGTTGGCCATACGGCAGATGTGGCGGAGGTGGCGGCGGGAAGTTGGCATGCGGCATGGGAGGTCCATAGTTGTGCGGCCACTGTGGTTGGTGATGCGCGCGCGCCTGCTCGAACGAATGCGCATGCTGGTGCGCCTCGAAGTCGTTATGCGGGAACTGGTTACCCGTGAAGAACGGAGGTGGCGGCGGAGGGCCAGGTGGAGGGCCGGGTGGGAAGCCCATCTGCCACGGTGCGCCGGCATGGCCAAAGGGTGCATGCGGCATGGGAGGCATATGAGGTGGCATGGGCGGGTTTTCGTTGCGACTGCGGTTCCAGAGGCGGGCATCGTTACTGGGGCCGCCTGGCCGGAAAGGCAAGGCGTGCGGGTTCAGGCTCTCTTCATTCATATCGGCGGCTGGGGCTTGGTGGAGGGCGTTCGCAGGTGAGATGCTGTCTCGACGACCGACTGCGGTCTTGTCAAGGTTAGTGTCAGAAAATCCGACGGGGGAGGAGTCGTGGGGTCTGTACCGAGTTGACGCGACTGTAGACATGGGGCAGACGGAAGAGCGGGGGCGCGGTCGGGGTGAAGAAGTCGGTGAAGTGAGATGAAGGAACTCGTCGCATGAAGCGTCTGCAGCACTGAAGTGAGCAAACGATACAGAAATTCACTTTCTGGCCGACCACGTGCATCCGCTGCCTGGCGGCGCCAGTGTCGGCGGAAACTAACGCCGATAAGTGGGGCTTGTCCAAAAAGTTTAGAGAGCAAGACCGACATTCAGTGTCGCGTCAGCAAGGTAAACCCCCACACAGCACATCGAATTACCACACACGAAGGCAGGCCCGGTGATTGATACGGAACGACCGATTCACTATGCCCCTCGCAGAGAAGCTCGACCGCAAGCTGCGCCCGGCGGACGATAGCTCAGATGGTGAAGACTACTACGAAGTGACCGACCGTTCGTCTTCCGAATCCATTCTCGAAACTGGTGCGGGCGGGGAAGTCATGAGCTCCGGCGACGAGGACGAAGGCGACGACAATCAGTATGAAGCAATGGTGAGCCTTGAAGAGCAACACAATTTGTATTGCACATAGCTAATGCGAACAAGGACGACGCATCCGACGACGAGCGCGTGAAATCGCAAATGAGCAAGGTCTCATTTGGCGCCCTAGCCAAAGCACAAGACGCTCTTTCCAAGCAGCAGTCGGCAGATCGCAAGCGCAAGCGAGGCGAAGACACATCAAAGTCGCAAGATGACAAGCTCGAAGCGTTAAGGGAGCGGTTACGGCAGATCAAGGCGGAGAAGATGGCGAATGGCGCAGCTGGAGCAAAGCCCAAAAAGAAGAGTGAAGGCACGAAGAAGGGCAAGGTCATTCAAGATGAGGACGATGAAGATGACGATGAAGAGGATGTCGACAGCGACAATTCGGACACAGAAGCAGCGCCAAAAGCTCGGTCGAGCAAGCACGCTCCCATGGTGCAGTCTAGCAAGCGCATGGTGTCGCGGAAGCGCAAGGTGGTAGATGTCAAGAAGCCCGTGTTTCGCGATCCGCGCTTCGACAACATGGGCGGTGCAGCTCCGGACGACAACACGTTGGGAAACCGATACTCTTTCTTGAACGACTACCGAGCCTCCGAGATCGCCGAGCTTCGACGCACCATCAAGAAATCGAAGAATGAAGGTGAAAAGGAGAGATTGAAGAAACAGCTGCTTTCGATGGAGTCGCAGCAAAAGGCTCGCGAAAACAAGGAGAAGCACCAAGAAGTTATACGGGAGCACAAGAAGAAGGAGAAGGAGCTGGTCAAGCAGGGCAAACAGCCATTCTTCCTCAAGAAGTGTATGTTTCTATGCCGTTCTTTGGGTAAACTATCATTTCGTGCTGATTGCTGACTTTTTTCTAGCCGAGCAAAAGAAACTCGCCCTGATCGACCGCTTCCAGAACATGAAGTCGAAGCAACTCGACAAGGTTATCGAGCGCCGCCGCAAGAAGGTCACTTCCAAGGAACGCAGAAATATGCCCGAGAGACGCACAGCATAAGCGCATCGATAATGTTGTGCTGGAAAGATGCATGGATGACATTAGCAATACTTCAGATACCCAGTCAAACAGTAAGCTCATTTTCAGCAAGGTTACACGCCAGTCTTGTGCGGGCGGGACACGCCATGTGGAGCTACGCGATGCCACAGAGGTGTTCTGGGATGATCATACGTCCAATTCGGCCCCCAATACCCAATTTCCAGCACCTCCAACACCGACTCGTCTATGGTAGCCCTATTGTGATGACAGCATGCCACAATTGCATGGCAGCTGCAGAATCGCATGCACATTGGCCGTTCTGATCGTCAAGATCCTTGATATGACGGGCGAACTAGGCGGGGGTCTGCGACGGGGACAGGGGTTTTATCCAAGAAACGAGCCGCTGCACTCATGTCACCTTCGTCAACATCGACGTCATACAGTCCCAGCCTCTCTGCTACCTGCTTTTTAGGCAGCACGGCCACATTTTTGAGTTTGCATCGTGCTTCCATTCCGTTCTTCATCACATCTTTGCAGCTATAATCTTTCGATAGTCTACTAGCTGCCCGTTTTACCGTTGAAAGTTTGATCGACGGAATTACCGCCGAGTAGTCGCCTTTAGTACCAACGGTCGAACATCACACTACCAGATCGCCATGACGAGCACAGCACCAGAAAAACAGCTCCATGAGTAAGTGATTTACGCTTCAAGATTCACAGCGATCACTCTATCGCAGTGTTCAAGGACGCAATGTCAATTCTCAGCGCATCGACTAACCCAACTCCCCAGGCTCCTCTCTCGCTCTATGGTAGACATCTACGTCGGCCCCGAGAACACGCACTGGATCCTGCACGAGAAGCTGCTATGCCACTACTCGCCATTCTTCCGCCGCATCTTCTACGCCAAAAACTCCAACACGACCTCGTTCGGACTCCCTGAAGAAGAAGATGCGCCCTTCAAGACCTTCGTCGGCTGGCTGTACAGCTCCTCGCTGCCCGTCCCGCGCGAAGAAGCCGACCTCGGCCTGCTCTTCGACCTGTACCTGATGGCTGAGAAGTTCATGATCCCCAACCTCGTCGCAGATGTGCTACAGGTTGTGCGCGAGTGGTACAAGTACTCCGACACATACCCGGGTCTCAGGCGCGTGCAGTATGTGTATGCGAATACCGAGGAGGGCAGCCCAATGCGCCATATGCTCGTGCATGCGGTTGCGCGCCTTATGGTCATTGAGAAGGGCATTCCCGCGCACTGGGACAAGGCGCTGAAGAAGAACGGTCAGTTGGCGGTGGACATCATCCGCGCGATTCAGGACTGGCGACTCGATGAGGACGTCGTGCCCGATGCGCGTGATGAGCCTGAAGACGCGGAGGAACTCGTCGACGTCGAAGCCGAGACGGAGAAGTTGGATCAGGAAGTCGAGGCGGAGATTGAGGGTGGTGAAGTCGAAGAGGGCGAGGACGATTCCGAAGCTACGGTCGTGGACTCGCCGACAACTCAGAAGCGCAACGAGTCGGCGGAGAAGGAGAAGACTGGCAAGACGGCGGATGTCAAGGGGAAGGGGAATGATCTGGTCAAGGACTTTAAGAAGTTCAGTCTGACGGAGGTGCCTAATGGTCTGGCGGGTGTGGATTACGGCACTCTTCGCGCATAAGGCCATCGCTCTCCATGATGGGTTCTTCTTCCTATTTGGCTATAATTTGCATCGGACAGCAGACATTTCATACCGGCGTTTCCGTTTTCCATTTCAGTTTCGGGGGGAAACAGGGTATGCAAGATACCACACTGAAAAGTCTCACTTTGATCCTGGCCATTTCCTTCTCTTTCCCATAGTCTAATTCCAGCCATAGCTGCCTCGTATACCGAAATCTCGTCCTGTGTTTTTAAACCTCACTTTCTCGCGTTTTTTTGTTTTCACAATCCGCACCCGTCGGATCGCCCACACGCCACCAACAATCTCCTCTCGCATTCTCTTTTCAATGTTACGCTAGACTCGCATTGCACTGCTACAAACCGCCGAGTAGCACATCCCGGCACATGTCACGAACGGGACGTTGCATGTGCGTTCTGCGACTGTGCGACGCTGCACGGAGCTTATGGGGTCTCACGTCCATCACGGTGGGATGTACATGGTTCTCGAGATGAATGATTTAGAAGTAC